AAAACAGTCATGCTAAATTGGTCTCAATCAGCACCAAATTTCCAATCTCATTATTCATAAGGAACATCCCCTATTTTGCTTTAGTGGCACCATGCTGTCAATCAACATAATGTAATAAGGGAAGGCAAAGTCATACCATTGCATGGGAAAATGTCAGTTAAGAAACTGTGACCACATATTTTTTTTAAATCTGCTAATTAACATATTGACCAACGGTTATTAGGTAAATCACAGTGATCAAAGCAAGTATTTAGAAAATGTAAAAACAACAATCCCGTACATTACTGTACAATATTTTTTTTTTCATTGGTTCTACTTTTTAGCAGGCAATTAAAAACACGTTGATTATCGTGGATAGAAAACAATGCTTGTTAATATTGTAGATATGAAACAAGTAGCCTGTAGGCACACAGACACAGCTAATCAATTCCTACCACTCTAGGATGAGCTAATGTTGTCTGAAACTAAATCAAAGGTCCATCGGACTTGCAGGATTGAGGGGATAAATGTGCTTTTCTCTCTTAATGGACTAGCCAGTTACCTCTGGGACATGTTCAATTTCATCCCAAACCAATATGTAGAAACTGGATTTCTTATATATCAGGTAAACAGAGCTAAGAAAAAGAGCAAAAAATGCTTAAAAGACAAGAAATATGTCAGCTAAAATATAAGAAAAGAAAGGCATCAGATTACAAAAATAAAATAAATTAGTATTTTACTTTTGTTAAGACATTGATACATCATTCCGAAGAATGCAAACATAAAGTATTTCCAAAACAATTTCTTACGAACATGGGGCTTTTAGGGTGCCAAATGATGCAGGAAATATGCTACACTGTTGAAATTCAATCATTTATTGTAAAATCATTAAAACATAACTAATCTTGATTTGATTTAAATTTGAAGCAAAGGGATGTCATCATTCCCAGGAGTCTTCAGGTAGGGGGGGCGTTTTTTTTTTTTTTCTCTCAGCTAAGCACACCCTACTGCATGCAGGCCTGGCCAAATTTCAACAATTGAGTACTGTCTGTGATACTTTTTTATTTGCACTAGCATACAATTTTCAGGACAAGCTTTTGGGGTATGTCTCCTTCTTCAATTCCAAGAGCACTAATACAGCTACAATCACCTCTTCGAATTTAAGTAATAATTAGTAAATCTGTGGTTCCACAAATTTGGTATGAAATTAGATATGTGTGTAATAAAATCTATAACAGAATCTTTCATACTGAGGCTTCTTGCCCACTAGCATATTTTTAAGCTCCAAAAGCTTTTATCAGCATTTTTTTCTGCTACTAGATGCTAAATAGTGTTATCGTATGTGTCCATGCACACTACTTTAGGTTATTAGCATTTTTTTTTGTGCGTCAGCATCTAGGAGTTTTTGTAGAGTTTTTTTTCAGCAGAAAAATGTGAAATGCTCCTAAACACTGCTAAACACTACTAAACACTCCTAACAGCTTGTTTCTACGCAACTAAAACGCTATTACTAACATTTTTATCTAGCGTTTTTCCCAGCTTTTTTAGCTAAATAAAAACTTTACTGTGCATGGAGCCTGAACCAGTTTAATAAACCATAAATATGTGAAATATATTAACATAATACATTTGCATGCATTCAGATTATACCTTATAGCTTATACTGCACACAACATACAATGTGAGAAACAATGTTCTATTGTGATATGAAATCAATGTTTAGACAAAAGCTTGAAAAAAGTTGTACATTTCCCAGCACCATAGATTTTTTCTTTTCCCTTGGGGAGGGGGGGGTAGTGGTTTAGTCTTGGGCACCCAGAAATGAATAAATAGGCATTAGGTGATTACCGCACAAGTAGTCCATTGACAATTCTAGCTCTTCAGCTGAAAGCTCAAACCTCTGTACGGGCAGGGAGCTAGAGGAATGGTATGCAGGAGTCTGGCAATTGCACCCATGATCCCCTGAGCATAGGTGCAATGTTTTTGCAGGCTCCTGCATAAAAAAATATAAATGCACATTTTTTTACCAACTTTTTTAAGTGGTTTTTAAAGGCTTAAAGATTTTTACCCTAATGCATTCTCTGCATTATGATAAAAAAACCTTCTGTGCTGCAGGATCCCACCCCCACTGATGTCTCTGAGCCAATGAGGAGGGAGAGCACCAAGAGAGCCTACGCTCTCCTCCACATTGTTGGATTGTGATCAAGCTCAGGTAAGCATAAGGAGGAGAGGGGGCTGCATGCAGAAAGTTACTTAACGCATATAAAAAACGTATGACTTTAGAGCTATTTTAATGTTCTCTAGGTCAGGTCCCTTTGTCAGGACGATTATGCCCCAGGGATCCAGGTAATTTTCAGGAGTAGGCTGTACAGTGCTGCAGGCGAGCCCATTGTGTTTATTGGTAACTAATCTACCGTATATACTCGAGTATAAGCCGAGTTTTTTCAGCACATTTTTTGTGCTGAAAAACGGCCCCCTCGGCTTATACTCGAGTCAACGTCTGCAGGGGGGCGCGAGGCTCCGTCAAGGGGGGCGCGTACAGGGGTGGGCAGAGGGCTGCTGTCTCTTACCTGGCTCCCACGATGATCCATCCAGGAAGCGCTGCTCCTTCCGTCACTCCGGCCACTCCCTCACTCCTGCCGCTCGGCTCCGCCTCCTCACCGGTGATTGGCCGCCAGAACTGTAGCTCAGGAAAGGTACACAGGCGGCCAATCACGGGCGAGGAGGCGGAGCCGAGCGGACCTGCGAAAATCGAGTGAGGGAAAAGCCAGGAAGTGTGCAGTGCAGAGGTGCTGCTGCAACCACATATGCTGGCTGCAGCAGCACCATACTGCAACAGGGGTCAGCAAGTTTCATTGGTGTCAGTGGGAGGAATAGTGCCGCATCATTGGTGTCACTGATACTAATGATGGGGCATTATTCCTCCCACTGACACCAACGATGGGGCACTATTCCTCCCACTGATACTAATGATGGAGCATTATTCCTCCCACTGACACCAACGATGGGGCACTATTCCTCCCACTGATACTAATCATGGGGCACTATTTCTCCCACTGACACCAATGATGGGGCACTATTCCTCCCACTGATACTAATGATGGGGCATTATTCCTCCCACTGACACCAACGATGGGGCACTATTCCTCCCACTGACACCAATGATGGGGCACTATTCCTCCCACTGATACTAATGATGGGGCATTATTCCTCCCACTGACACCAACGATGGGGCACTATTCCTCCCAGTGATACCAATGATGGGGCACTATTCCTCCCACTGACACCAATGATGGGGCACTATTCCTCTCACTGACACCAATGATGGGGCACTATTCCTCTCACTGACACCAACGATGGGGTACTATTCCTCCCAATGATACCAATGATGGGGCACTATTCCTCCCACTGACACCAATGATGGGGCACTATTCCTCCCACTGACACCAATGATGGGGCACTATTCCTCCTACTGACACCAATGATGGGGCACTATTCCTCCCACTGATACCAATGATGGGGCACTATTCCTCCCACTGACACCAATGATGGGGCACTATTCTCCCACTGATACCAATGATGGGGCACTATTCCTCCCACTGACACCAATGATGGGGCACTATTCCTCCCACTGATACTAATGATGGGGCTTATACTCGAGTCAATAGTTTTTTTCCCAGTTTTTTGTGGTAAAATTAGGTACCTCAGCTTATATTCGGGTCGGCTTATACTCGAGTATATACGGTAATTGGATTGTAATTACAGAATAGGTTTATACACAGAAAAAAAAATGTTCCTGATGCCTAATACTTTCTATCTTCTCCCCTCTCACACACAGAACAACAAACCTTTTTTTAAGTTATTAACAATGACTCATATATATTAGATTATATTTAGTCAGTTAATAAGTTACTAATTACATTGAAACAGATGAAGTAATAAATGAAAGGTCAAAATAGTATATTTTGAAATTATTATTATTTTTTAGCAGCTAACCCTAATTGATTTAATATATTTTTATTGTAATCATCTGTAAATACAACTATTAATCTCAGCACTGATGTACAGTATGTTTCAAAACCTGTGTATATAAGGGTTCTTGTAATGACGATCTATAGATGAAAATAATGTAATGAAAATACTTGAATTGTTTTAGTTATACAAAATAAACTGCAAATAAACTAAAACTGCTTTCTTTTGGCATTTATGTCAAATTTCTTTGCTTTTTATTTAAAAAAAATCAACATAAAAAAAAATCAAATTACTAAATAAAGTCCTGATATTTGCTAAATATGATATGAAAATCATTTTTGTTGCAAAGCAGTTCAAAAGTGCATGTCTTATACACTGGTGCATACCAAAACTTTAAAATTCAGTCTGTTCATGAACGTTTTGATTTTTCCTGGACATAAACATGTGAAGCAAAAATCCAGAAGTGACTCCAGATAACGAAGTGCCACCACTGAGCAGTGCATGAGTTCTCAATTAATTGTGCTGTTCACAAAGGTTACTGGAAATGTAAGTATTCTTTGTTAATTAACACATTTTAAAGCAGTGTAACTAAAATGATCTTTACAAATTAAGCAAAAAGAGACTTTTTGTTTAAAAAAAAATCCATGCATATGCTGCACAGTCTATTGAAATGAAATGCCCTTATTAAGGATATACGAAAAAAAAAAAAAATAGTTTTCTAAAAAAAAAAACTTTGTGAACAAGTTTCCTAGATTCAAGTACGAATGGTTCCTAAAATTGAACAAAGTTTAGGGTCCTCTTTCAGGTTTTTATTGCTGCTTGAGTTCTTGATGTGATCATTTTTCTTTGCTTCTTGACAAAGTAAAAACACAGGGAATAAGAGGAAATTTTTTCAATAAGGACCTAGACGGCAGTAAAAACAGAGGATTGTGTCAGGACATTCTCCAGCAGAATGTCAGGTCATTAGAGTATAAGTTCACCTTTTGCAACATGCAACCTGTTCCAGCTGGATTTAGGCTAGAACATGTAACATGTTCCAAATCCTGAAGCTTCTCCCCTTGAGCCCCGTCACAGTGTGGCATTGGGAAGGGAATCCTCTCCATGCACTTGCTGTCACAGAATATGTAAATAGGATCAAACTGTGCAAATCTCCAATCACCAGGGGCGGACTGACAACTCATGGGGCCCCTGGGCAATAGGAGATCATGGGGCCCATGTGTCCTTGTCCAAACTCAAAAAAGCCTATGAAAAAGGTACCAGGGGCATCTCTTGGGGCCCCTACTGACCCCGGGCCCTCATGCAGTGCCCGGGTTTCCAAATGGTCAGTCCGCCCCTGCCAATCACCTTATTTCAAAAGCTGCAAATATTAGAGGATATCCTCTCTTTACAAAAAACTTGATTGAATAAATATGATTGAATAAATATTGCGCTGTGAAACAATAAACTTCATACAATATGCATATGTACTATGAAGACCCTCATAACTAAGAAAGGCGATCAAAACAAATAAATAAATAATACTGTGTAAATTTCACTAATCATATGTATATATTAAAAAACTGTGAAATGTGATCAAATCAACAAACCAGTGACATATTGTCCATGTAAACATATAATAAAGTCAATGTAAGGATAAAGACTCCACAATCTGTAATAACTCTGTTAATAGATACTGTAGGTGAAATATGAGTAGCCTTCCTTCAGATATTCACCAAGGTGTGTACCACCACCAAATAATTAAATGCAGGCTTACCAGAAATAGAGACCCCTTAATTATAGGGGGTCTCAACCAGGATTGTAATGTGAGATATTAACATGTTCTCCATGCCATACCCGGAACAGAGATCTTCCAAACCTCCAAACCCAAATGTGAACTCGAAAAAAAACGGTGCCAAATAATGTCATGAAAGAAAAAACATGCCTCTCATACTGTAATACGTATCACACTCCTTTATTTGTGCAAGTAAAATCCTACTTACAAGCTGTAGAACAATTAAAAGCATTGAAAAAGACTGCTTCCAAGATTGCCGACAGCGCAATGACATCAGAGGGAGGCTCCGTCTGACACGTTTCGTCATCAAAAGACGTCTTCTAGGTCTATTTCTGTCACATGATTAGGGTATAAAAGATGCTTTGACAATGCAATGGCAATAGCAGCCTTTTCTTAACCAAATATAAATAACATATCAACATATTAACATTCAGTACAGTATTAAAGGGGTCTCCAAGGTCCTTTTTGGGCAATTACCGCAAGTACCTCCATACACCAGAATTAGGCCTCCAGCTGCAAAAACACAGACTTGGAGACAAACCAATAATCACAGGTACCACCAACTAGAATACTGGGAGCTGTACCCCAGATGGGTCCCTACAACTGTACCCTTTTGCCAATAATAAAAACACATCCAAGGACCTTGTACTTCATTAGCTGCCATGATGTAAAATACACAGCACCTGTAACTTTTAAAAAAAAACAACACAATCAAAATAAAAAGGGAGAGAGGGTGGGAAGTTGTCTGGACCAAGCTTTCTTCTGACTACAAACTGCCCAAACCCTCCTTCATCCCAAATCTCTGAATCCCCACCTTCTACAGTCCTATCTACCAATCTGGTGAGTAATCATGAATACTGTTCATTTGATCCACAAACTCCTACTATGCCAAACCCCTTTTAACCCAGCCATGTCGGCCCTGCCTCTGGGCTTCTCCTTCTTTCACTCCAGGCCTAACTTTTCAGAAACAGCATGGCCATGTGGGGCTCTCCCCATACGGCCATGTCAATAATTCATTTTCCTGTTTATGGATAGACTACAAGCACCATCAACAAACATATGTGCATTTAATTTTTTTTCTTAAAAAGAAAACTTACCCTAATTTGACTAATTGCCTTAATTTGACTAATATTCAGAAAAAAGGGTGTTATGCACAAAACATGAACCAAAAAATGGCAGAAAAACTCTATATCTTCAACAATCAAGTCTTGCTGGCTAAGGACATTGAAGCCAGGCATCCTAAATCCTTCTTGCACTGAATCAGTTTCATATGTAAAATCCACCAAAAACATCTCTTAACCACTTGCACTCCTGAGGATTTACCCCCCTTAATGACCAGGCCTCTTTTTGCTACTCGGCGCTGCACTAATTCAACTGATAATTGCACGGTCATACAATGCTGCACCCAAACAAAATTTTCGTCCTTCTTTTCACACAAATAGAGCTTTCTTTCGGTGGTATTTGATCACGTGCGCTTTTTATTTTTCACGCTATAAACAAAAAAAGACTGAAAATTTTGAAGAAAAACACTTTTTTTTTCTTTCAGCTATAAAAAATACATAGTAAACTCAAAGTTAGTTATAAATTTAGGCCAAAATGTATTCTGCTACATGTTTTTGGTAAAAAAAATCAGAATATGTATATATTGATTGCTTTGTGTGAAAGTTAAAATGTCTACAAACTAAGGTATAGATATTGAAATTTACACCATTTGTTTGCTATACAGCGCTGTCCTAATTTAACGGACAATTGCGCGGTCATGCAATAGGGTACATAAATGAAATTTATGTCTTTTTTTCACACAAATAGAGATTTCTTTTGGTGGTATTTAATCACCTGTGCAATTGTTATTTTTGGCACTATAAAAAAAAATTTTGAAGAAAATTAAAAAAAAAAACAATATTTTCTAATTTTGGTCATAACAAATATCCAAAAAAACTAAAATTTTGTCATAAATTTAGGCCAAAATGTATTCTGCTACATTTTTTGGTTTAAAAAAATCCCAGTAAGTGTATATTTATTGCTTTGTGTGAAAGTTATAGCGTCTACAAACTACAAAATGGAATTTACACAGCTTTTACTTTATGACTGCTCATCACATTTCTTGAGGTGTTAAAATACCAGGATAGTACAAACACCCACAAATGACCCCTTTTCAGAAAGTAGACACCTTAAACTATCTGCTGAGAGGCATATTGAGTCCATGTAAGATTTATTTTTATCCCAAAAGTTTCTGGAAATGACAAAAACTTTTCTTTTTTTTTTTACACAAAGTTGTCATTTAAATGATTTATTTCTCGCACAAGCCATGGGTATATGTGGAATTACACTCCAAATTACATTCTGCTACTTTTACCGAGTATGGGGATACCACATGTGTGGGACTTTTTGGGAGCCTAGCCACATACAGGAGCCTGAAATCCAATGACCACTTTGAAAGCCTGAAGGTGCGTAACTTCCTCATTTCACTTCCTCAATACCTATCAATAGTTTTGAAGGTCCTGACATGCCAGGATAGCACCAACCCCCACAAAATGACCCCTTTCTGGAAAGTAGACACCCAAAGGAATTTAAAAAAAGGCATGGGGAGTATTTTGCAGATCTAATTTTTTCTCACAAGGTTTTGAAATATAAAAAAAATAGAAAAAATATGTTTTTGTTTTTTTTTTCTTCATTTTCCAGAAACGTTGTGGCAACAAATGAGATCTGTAAAATACTTACCATGCTTCTTATCAAATTCATTCGGGTGTCTACTTTCCAAAAAGGGGTCATTTGGGGGGGGGGGGGGGGGGGGGGGGGGGTTGGTGCTATCCTGGCATTTCAGGGCCTCTGAAATTGTGTGATAAGTAGTCTGGAAGTGTAATGAGGAAATAAAGCCCTTTAAAAGCCTTAAGGTGCTTATTGGATTTTGGGGTCCTGTACTTGGCTAGACTGCCAAAACGTCTCACATGTGGTACCCCCATACTCGGGAGAAGTAGCAGAATGTATTTTGGGGAGTAATTCCACATATACCCATGGCATGTGTGACCAATGAAATCATTTAAGTGACAATTTTGTGTAACAAAAATAAATATTTTTTTGTAATTTTCCAAAAACTTTGGTAAAAAAATAAATTATTCTATTGATTCAACATTTCTCAAAAATAGTTTGGGGGGTGTCTACTTTCCAAAAAGGCATCGTTTTTGGGGGGAGTGGGGGCATTTTTTATGCCCAGCATTAGAAGTTTATGCCACACATCACTCACTTTTCTAACCACCTGAAGATCAAGCCTTCTCTGACACTTTTTGTTCACATGAAAAAAATCTGTATTTTTTGCTAGGAAATTGCTTTAAAAAAAATATATAATGTTTGGGGGTTTAAATTAGACACCCTAGTGAATAAAATGGTGGGTACTACAATTTTTTATGGCACATAGTACTCGCGCAGCGATTTTTGAAAAGCAATTTTTTTTTTTTTTTACTTTTAATGCAGAAAAACACAATATATTGGCCAATTATTTGGTAAGATATAAAAGATGATGGTATGCCGAGTAAAGAGATACCAAACATGACATGCTTTAAAACTGCGCATGCCCAGTGAAATGGCGACAAACTGCATACATTTTTAATATCCATAGGCAACACTTTAAAAGCCTTTAAAAGCTACCACTTTAGATTTACAGAGGAGGTCTAGTGTTAGAATTACTGTCCTTGATCTGACGTTTACGGCGATACCTCACATGTATGGTGCATCCGCTGTTTACATACCACCACAGGGTCAACGCTTGTGCATACAGGTGTGCGTGCATGGGAGGGGCGAGGTTTTTGAGGGGGTTTTTTTTTTGTTTTTTTTAGTCATTTTGATTTTTTATAAATTATTTTTACACTGTACCTTTCATTTTTTTTTTTTTTATCACTTTTAATGCTATCACAGGGAATGCAAATATCCCCTATAACTTCAATGGGCATTGTCATATATTCTTTTTTGAGAAATCTGGGTCTATCATATCTCCTCTGCCCTTACATTATCTAATCAAACCAAAATTGGTGTGATCAGATGCTTTCCCAATTTACAAATGGCGCTGTTTATATCCTGCAAAACTGAAGTGATGAAATGCTCATAGCTTCGAATTCTTAGACTATAGAGATGATTGGCTCCACTCTGGTCTCCAATCAGCTCTATGGTCAGCTGGCAGAAACACCGGCTGCATTCTCAGGTTCCCCCGATGGCACGAGACTGCTCGAGAAGGCCGTGGAAGGCAGCGGGGGAAGGGGGCATCATTTCCCGCTGCTTGTAAAAGCAATCCTGCAGCTATTTAGCCACTAGGATTGCTTTTACATGAAAGCCGATTACCGGCTGAAAAAAACGATACCAGGATGATGC